TTGACAGAAGATGCTCTAAATTATCTGCCTTCAGACAGTGCCATCCATTAGTTCCCCTCTCAGCGCCGAGTATGAAATGCGAGTATTGGGGCAACTGTGTGTTGGGAGATATCATTCAGGACTATGAGCTATGGCCAAGCACTGACAGTCAGGATAAATGTCCCCACTTTTCAGGCTGTACAAATGGCATTTGGCCATAATAATTCAGCAAAGGACAGTTCATTCCCCATCCAGAGCGACTGGACCCAGTCAAAAGATATTACAGCATCTTCTTTATTAGTGCCTATGGTTTTGGTGTAGAGATCCTCAGATAAATACAGCTAAAATGCCACTTCACTCAGAAATATTGGCCCATTCCTCTGTTGCCTGACTGGGCCCGAATGGCAGCCTGTTTCAGACATTATAAACCTTTCTGAAGTCACACAGCGCTCCTGCCAGCCATCTGTCATGCTGTAAGTACCATCATTTGCAGACCAATAGAAGTGATCAGTAGTTTTCCCCCCAGGCTCCAAGCGAGGCATCATAGTCAAAGGAATTGATTATCACTTTATCATTTAAGTATAGCTTGCTTTGAAGACTAGTAACTCACGTTTAAGGTGCCAAATGGCTTTGCATATAGCTCAAAACGCCAGCCATTTAAGAATAATTGTGTAATTCGTCATTTGTGACGTTGCTTTATAGTTTTTTGCATCTCGGCGCGGCTAAAGAGCTCGCGTGCTGTCACCTGTGACGTCCGGCGATGCTTTAATTACCGATTATTGGGGGGGATGCGCGCGCGTTCAGACTTCATAAGGTGACAGCGGTTTTATCGTGCGTCGCCTCGTAAAGTCACGTCATCTGTAGGACGAGCCCGACACTTTTATTAAACAGCTATTCACCTCGTGCGCGCCGAGAGATGTGCAAAGATAAATCCTCATGAATAACTGAACTGTCTGTTTGAGGATCGGCGTGTCATACTAAAGTCAGAACCTGATCCAAGCAGCACATATACAAGGAGGAGGTAAAATGATTGCTTTCAGGATATATAGGCATTAGGCCTAGACTTTCTACTGTGTTATTTAAATTAATACATTGGCTATATATTAATATATCTATATATATATATATTTATAATGAAACTCCATAGCCTTTATAGCTAATTTGTTAGTCTGTTTGTCTGTATTTTCCTAAATAAAGTTTACTCTACTCTTTGCTTTGCTGGCTGGCATTCCTTTTATTCCTATTATGCCCTATACTTATTGATTTGATTTTGGTGCATATTCCAATCACACTGGACCAGATTTTTAGAAAATGAGATCTGGCATTCGACTAAATGAGAATTTCCTGTACGGAGACATTCATTGGTTCACGCAGGAAATTAATGATAAAAACGCCCCTCTTTGTGTGTGTGGCGCGCGTATCGCCGCTAATCTGCGCCTTTGTGCAAATGTAACCAGGGCTGCTCTTTGGCAATCGAGCGCAACGCCACGGCTTTGAGAAAAACCACTTGTTCTGTCGCATAATTAGAGATCTCATACCCGCCCGGTGAGGAGGGGGGGAGGATGGAGGGGGGCCTTGTTTGCCCATTTAAAGTGTGATTCAGATAATAGTGTTCTCATCAAAGGTAGCAATTACATTCATTACACAGGCGGCCGCAAGGAAATTAAGTGGCAGGAAAATGAAAAGCTTAATATGTACTTCCTTTATCCTATCTCTTTTCCTTTCTCTGCTTCTACACACGCCCCGTGTCGCACAAAGGGTGGGGGGTGTAAGATAGGGTCTCTCCAGAAAGAAATAGTCTTGGGGGCGTGAAGAATAAATCCAGCCGTGGTCCTCCTTCACCCTTTAGCAGTAATGATTTGGCGTTGGGGCAGCCGTTTCTATAGCTGCGCTCTTCAGGCAGGATTAAAAGCCTTTCTTCGGGGGCTAATGTCCACGGCAGCCTTTAAATGACTCCAGCATATGATTGGAGTCTTAAAAAAGTGCTCGGGGGCCTTCTCCAAATTAATACCCAATTCCTTTTCAGGAGAAAATGAATTGTTACGCGTTCTATAAAACCACAAACAGCACATAAATCAAGCGCTTTGGAGGAGAGAAGGGGGCCCGCTCATTCAGAGGCTTTTAAATGTGAATTAGGGCAGCGGGGGAACTTGGTCTGACTTACCCCCGAGCAGGTGTGCTTCAGACACTCTGCAGATGCTAAATTAAAATGGAGAGTGAGAAGGGAGGAAGCTATAAGCCGGATAAACAAAATGAACTGATACTCATTTGTGACCGAATGACGTCATGTCATGACGTCTGTGCTGCATGGAGTTTGAATGCATATCATGCTATGATCAAATATTTGGGAAAGAAAGAAAGAAAAATATCAGATGTCAGGCATTTTTAGTCATATTGCAACCTTTGGACAGACAGACAGACAGATAGACAGATAGACAGATAGATAGATAGATAGATAGATAGATAGATAGAAATAAAATAAATTATTATAGAAAAGAAAGAAAGAAAAATATCAGATGTCAGGCATTTTTAGTCATATTGCAACCTTTGGACAGACAGATAGATAGACAGATAGATAGATAGATAGATAGATAGATAGATAGATAGAAATAAAATCAATTATTATAGAAAAGAAAGAAAGAAAAATATCAGATGTCAGACATTTTTAGTCATATTGCAACCTTTGGATAGACAGACAGAGATAGATAGATAGATAGATAGATAGAGCAATAAACTTGGGAGTAAATATATAAATTATAGAAAAGAGAAAGAAAGAAATTATGAATGAATCAATGAATGATCATATTAGCATTTGTAGTCATATAATAACCTTTCTTGATACTTAAAAAACTTACAGTCTTGTTTATCCGTTATTTATGCAACTATTTTTCGCATGTACTGTTGCACCCCAGCTTTGAAAACAATAACGTTTCATGAAAAGAAGCCCACTTGAAACCCCAATTAATCTTTTTCAACTGACAAATTACTGTCACCCTGCTTGAATTATTCAAGGGGAAGTGGCTTCACGGGAAACCTGAGCATAATTAAATTGCTATAAAATAACATTAGTGTGGACAGGCCATTAGGAAGTGTTGTAATTGACTGCTTCAGAGGTCGTAGGTCGGGCTGTCATGCCTGCCTTTGGATCAGTTTACACCTCTTTTCACTGGAAAACCCACAAACTGTAAATACTGCACCTGATAGTAACTGTTTGACTTCATTTAGAATTCCCATTCAATAATGCTAATGTAATAGCGCACTTTGAATCAATGGGATGCATCCTCACAAAGAGTTCTTTGCACATTCATATGCAACAAACTAAATACTGACACGGAACACTCTTATTCTGTTTTGAGCATAATGCAACGCAAAAGAGTGAAAGTAAATTTAGATATTAAAAATTCTTAAGGTAGGCCATACAGGCCTATCTTATTTCGCTACATGTTCATCACAACTAGTCATCCTGCGCCATCTAGTGTTGTAAATGTGAAATGAAGCTGGTTCAGCCCAGGACTAGACACACGAAGCAATTCTATATGTTTGGTAAGAAGAATTGTCTGTTTGAGATCACAACACAAATGCAGTGTCATTTATGAGTCAGTAAACTTAAATTTCAAGAGAACTCTGAAATGAAATTTTAGGGCTGGTGTGGAATAATACATAAACATAAACAATATGTCAGATACTGTAATGGTAAAATCTGATCTTTCTTGATAACAATTCATTTTATTGTAGGGGTAAATGTCTAACTCTGCAATAAGGCTATGAATCGACTGTTTGTTAACATTTTAACCCACGATAGGAGCCTGGTATGTTGTTCTCTGGTTATCTGAACCATGAACACAGGCAATGAATTGCTGAGTGTTATACTAGAACCCTCTCATTACAACTCTGAAGAGTGTCATAAGGATCCAAAGCTCTCGCTCTAACTGGTCATTTGTCACACCCTCTTCAATGGTTTTCCTACAACCCTGACACAAATGGGGCAATGCGATCTTCAGCTAACTTCCCCTCTAGTTAAATATTAAACGCTATGAAACATAAATGAGCCAATCCTGCTATTTAAAGTAATGCAATTGGCTCAAGTACTCATCAAATTGCTCATGTCATTTGAATATGGAAATTATCGATGTATTTAGCTAATCTGGTAAAAGGTGATGAATTATCAATGCAGAATACTAAAAGATTTAAATAATAATAATAATAATAATGGGATCATTGCTGTTATGCAGTACCGAATGTCAATGAATATGACTAAGTTGTAATTTAAGAAACAATTTAAAATGGTACGCAAGTCTTTCAGAAATATGCTTTTAATTTTAACTAAATTATTTATGCAATGACAAGAAAATCAACAGGATGGAATTACAGAGCTAGTTAGTCATTGCTGAGTGGGGACTGAGAGTGAGAGATTTGAAAATGTGAAAATTTCAAAAGATGATTTAATATGTTTAATCATCTTTTGAAAATTTTATTTCACAATGATTTCTGTAATTTTATCAAACATTACAGAATTGTGACACAAACAAATTAAAACCACAAAACATCAATTTAAACTCTATTGTAAATACTTACATATATTTGTGCTGTTGTTTTATCATTAAAACAATGTCCTTTCCTGAAGGATTACATCATTAGGAACATGGCTTTTGTTATTTAAAATAAAGAAATATTACAAAAGACTAACAGGATGGAATGAAATATTTAGAGCATCGGAGAAGCTTTTAAAATGAGTGCCAATTAAAACAATATTCCAAAGAAAACATTATTTGATTTGACAACTTTAACGATTGTAGCCTACATATATAACACCTAGAGACACGGCAAAAAGACAACATCTCAAATCCCAAATCAAAATATGGAAATTATGTATAGTTCACTCCTATATTCGCTTATATTATGATACTGTGTTAAGATACATTACTTTTAAAAGTCTGGGTTGCTCTGCAGATCCTGTACCCTCACAGTGACATACAGGAACTAAATGTTCAACCATCGCAACAAAGTCGGAATTATTTCAGCGGCGCACCGTCTGGTTGAACTTTCACCCCTGCGTTTTCTTTTGTTTTGATGTCGCAGAACATTATTTTCACCCACCGAACTTGGGTTTTTACTCTCTGCTTACCAATAACACCGTCCTAAATGACACACGGAGTATGTTTCAAATACGTCGATCCAACTGTCGGTCAAATGTAAAGCTCGTTTAAAATCTATTTTTAACAGAACCAGTCGTGCTAACTCGCTGACGTTAGCTGCCCAGCATCACCATGGAGCTTTTTCCAGTCAGATTTTTCTAATATCTCGTTAAAGAACGGGTCGTCAGTCAGAACAACCGAGTGTGGTTTTAAATTCTCTGACGCCCTTGAAAAGGTAACTTGTTATCCGTTGTTTTAATAGCGCAATGTTTGGGAATGTTTAGCAACCTCGACGTTCACTCGCTATCTTAGCAACGCTTGTTACCTTGTCAACTGGATAACAGCCAGACTAATACAACTGATTAGTGTTACAACCGTCACAAGTTCTACGGTACCCTTTGGCCTGTGGATGCATGTTATTGTAGAAGAATCGACTGGATTCACACGTTAAGGATTGCTTGTAAAGTTTTATTTCGCTGCTGTTTGATGCTACAAGCATTTATTATGCAAGTTGTCTTTCAGTTGATTTTATATGATATTCTGTTTGGATCTTATTTACAGCCTGTTTGGTCACGTTTAAGACAGCAGAGGACGACGGTGTAGATCTCTCAATGGGCGAGGAGAAGCCAGAACCACTGGATTTTGTGAAGGACTTTCAGGAGTACCTGAGTCAGCAGACCCAACATGTCAACATGATATCTGGCTCTGTCATCGGAGTGAAAGACAGCGATGATCTCCAAGGAGGTATTGCTTAGAGAACCTTCCTGCGTGTTGTTTTAGACTTGTCTAAAAATGTGTCTGGATGCATTTATGCTTTTTATGATTTAGTAGTAAATCAAGTTTTTATAAATGTATGCAGTCTTTATAAATATCTCCATATCAGATTTTTTCCTATTTGCTCAAAATCAAAACGAAAATTAAATGGAAAATATGCCAGAATGGGTAACAGGTTTACAGTTTTTTAAAATTCTAAATTTCTAAATTCTAAAAAGCTGACAGTCAGTAGGTGCTGGGTAGTTTGAGACCAAATCTATATGTTAAATAATATATTTAATATATGTTAAATATTTTTTATTGGATAATAACTTCTTATTATTTATTACATAATAGTTTAACATATATTAGTTTTCACAACATGGAATTTATACCTCTAATGTTAAAAAAAGTGTACCATATTAATGAAAAGTGCCTGCTGATTTAAGTGTGCTGAATGCAAAACTAGTAGAACAATGCCATATCTTGAGGTGTACCATATCTTAATATTAGTTATTTTCTGTTTGTTTATTTATTTATTTATTTTACCTTACAGAACTTGGTCAGAATGGCCTGGAGCACCCAGCAGTGGACATGTCCTTAGAAGATAGTTCAGGGATGGTGGTGGATGGCTTTGAGAGAACATATGATGGTAAACTCAAGTGCCGCTATTGCAACTACGCCACCAGAGGCACTGCACGGCTGATTGAACACATTCGCATCCACACAGGTAAGACTGAAAACTGATCTTAAATCGTATTTATACTCTTTGTTCTTTTCTTCAGCTTACCAAGATCATGAGTTGTTCTCCATCTCCTCCTCCAGGTGAAAAACCCCATAGATGTCACCTGTGTCCTTTTGCCTCAGCGTACGAACGCCACCTGGAGGCACACATGCGTTCTCACACAGGTGAGAAGCCTTACAAGTGTGAGCTCTGCTCCTTCCGCTGCAGCGATCGCAGTAACCTTTCTCATCACCGGCGTCGAAGACACAAACTCCTCCCCATGAAGGGCGCACGTTCCGCTCTCTCTCACCGAAAGATGCTCAGTGTTTTGCAGAAGAGAGGAAACTCACTTGGTTATGGCCGCCGGCTGCTCATCAACCTCAGCCCGCCATCCATGGTGTTGCAAAAGCCCAGCTCAGAGCAGCACCACTTGGGTGACTTCTCTCATGATCTCCCTCCTCATGCCCACCTCCATCAGGAGGCCTATAATGGTCTAGGAAAGGATGCACAAGGTAGTGGAGTAATTGGAAGTGGCTCCAGAGAAGAGCAAGACATGGCATTGGACAACCCGCTGAACCAGCTTTCGACTTTGGCCGGTCAGCTTGCCAGCATTCCACCGGAAGCCCAAGTTGCACCAGTGTCTCCCGGAGCAGAATCTCTACCAGACGAAAAACCCACATTCCTCATCCAACAGCCTGTGACGGCACCTGCTGCCGTTTCTGTCAGCGCGGCTCAAGTTTCTTCTCCCATCACCCCCGAGCCCAGACCGGCTGCGCACAGCGGCTATAGCCCAGGAGTTGGACCCTGCAGCGAGAGAACCAGCACTCCCAGTGGTACCAACAGCCAGCCAGGGACGCCCACCCCGGTACAGGACCCCCAGATGCTCCACCACTGCCTCCACTGTCACATATATTTCCCTGACAATATCCTCTACACCATCCACATGGGTTGCCATGGTTACGAGAACCCTTTCCAGTGTAACATATGTGGACACAGGTGCAGAAACAGCTATGATTTTGCCTGTCACTTTGCGAGAGGCCAGCACAAATAAGGACACATGGGTATTGATGTCCTCTTCTTTGCCCTGTTTTACATAATAATAACATTCTAGTATCTGGAACATTCCAAAGACAAAATCCCTGCTTTGTGATTATTGTATTTGAACTGTTATCAGTATGTTATGCTGAAGCAAAGACTATAGAATACCCAAGACGTGTCACTCGTTAGTTTTGAATGGGGAAAAAATGCAACGCTCAATATGGCCGCTTTATTGAAGGAAGCCCCGCCTTCTGAGTAAAAGAGCCAATCGCTAATCGGTAAAGTCGTCGCATCCCTGCAGCTGCTGTTAGAAGTCCCGGTTGCTATAGAAACAGTCAGCGTTCTGAGATGTGCGCTTAGGACTGCGCATGCGCATTGGCTCATCTAGCCTGAAAAAGAAGCTTTTTTTAACGCTATTTGAGCATAAGAAACAACATTTATGAGACGGTTGTTGTCAGATTTCATTGGTGATTTCAAATATGAAATTTAATCGCAAGCTTAGCGAACAGTTTTGGAGAATTTGAAGTTTCCCCATTCAAAGAGATAGGAGCTGCACTTGCATGCCCGAGAGGCGTTTCAAAGATGGCCGCAGAGTGAAATTACTTGCCCTAAAGGGACTTTGGCTGAAGTCAGTAATCCACTTTCAGAGTGTACATTTTTTGGTCTTTGAAAAGGTTAGAAATGTTGATGCTATTGGTGTCCTCACATCAAAAACTATCATCCCAGGTTATTCCAGTTCGAGATCTTGAGAATTTCATCAAATGTTCAGATTTTGCCTCAATTCTTTTGTATAAGTGCCAGAGTTCAGTAATCAGTGCCTACAGTTATTTTCTGAAAGTTGACACTTAAAATTTTGTATTATTTTTATTTTTCACATTTCAAATTCAGTGACGTGAGTGACAGTAAATGTAATGGCTATTCTTACACTTTGGATTTAAATGTAGTATGATGACATTGCCACATTTTATTATTATTTTTTTTCTAATTTAAAATGATCACAAATGATTCCTTGTTTCTTGAGAGAGCTGCATATATTAAAACCTAACTTAAGTCAACAAGATTGTGATTGAAGATGAAAATTTATAGCACAGGTAAGTTGACTGTTTAGCAGTGAGAAATAGTGCCCTGTAGGATTTTTGTCCAAATTTACTGTAGTAGCCTGAGGTCTTCTCTTTACTTAGCACCATCGCACATGGCTGCATACACTGGTTTTGTAAAGCAGTGTTGATGATTGTTTTGGGCAGTGTGAGCACACTGTTCTCTCTCTTTCATTTTCTCTTCCTCATCGTTACCACCAGTGCCATGTTGTAGATGTTATTTGTAATATTTTTGGAAGCGTCTGTGGTGCTACTTTTTAAACATTTCATATGCCTGTCTGCATAATGAACTAAATTATCAGATAAGTATTGTATAACATGTTTTGGTGGATTTGATGTTGAATGTCAATAAACCTGACTCATGCGATGTGTACTGAAATGTTATGTTTGTCCTGTCAGTTAATTCAAGGTTATCTATAGGTTATACCTATAAGGTACAAGGCAACCACTTTTATTATACACAAAATAATACATTTAATCAAATTGTTTTCTAATGCAAAATGTTTTGTGTTGATTTATAGTAACACATTAACACAACATTCTCTTGACAGGCAGAAGTTTGCACTTTATAAGCGACTTGCTTGGTTCAATAAATATATACTGTATTTCACTGTAATCAATGTGCTTCAACAAAGAAGTGCATTTGAAGAAGGATTGCTTTAATGAATTGATGAAAAATACATCATTAGGAAAGATAATGTGATCTGATTAATGATAAAGATCAGAAATAAAGAAGCTGATGATCAAATCAATCTGCTGCCTTCATCTTCTTATGCTGTCTGTGAAAACATGTCACTGTCCTAGGCTCCTGCACAGCAGGGACAAAGAGAGTCATAGTTATATGTAGAATACTAATAATTCGAACTTGAACAGCTAGAGATGGCACAGTAAATTATACCAATATGTACCAACCCATGCATTTAATAACATAAAAATATTATATATTATATGCAAAAATATTCTTGATGCTGATGGGTCAATAGCCATTTTATTTACGAGAGCATGGCTATGACCATAGATATGTATAGGTATACATATCTATGGCTATGACCGCCTCGATGAACACATTGGTGTATCACTGCGCAACACCCTTAGCAACCACTCTTAGCAAAATAAACAATTCATTCTGTCAAAACAACTTATGTATTATGCATTTTACCAAAATAAATAAATAAAATAAAAAATAAAGTAAAATAAAATGAATGTATTTAAAAGTATGTGTGACCCCTGCTGACCTTATTGCATTAATTTATTTTGAGACCACGCCCTTCCCAGTTCCCCCTCATGCACGTGTATGTGTGTGGAAGCTGATAGTTTCCGAAGTGCACACTGATTATTGTTTAAACGTTTTCTTTTTCAGGTATGGTACTGTATGCTCATGGAGTTATACTGTTTATTGGAGCTTTTTACAGCCGAACTCGCGCTGTCAGGAACTATTTTTCTGGCAGAGGGATGCAATTTACTTAATGGGTGCGTCTCAATCAGCTCCCTAGCTCCCGAGGTCGTGAATCAGTCGGTGCATTCCAAACGGGATATATCGCCCTCCGAAGGGCACTTCGGAATGAAAATAATCATGGCCGCCATATTGAAGGGTCGTTCCAAACCGAAGTGCTCAAAACTGTCCACTTCAAAGGGCCCTTCGGAATGAAGGATTTGTTTGGCGTCACAGAGTTCGACTTCACCGATATATGTATGTATAGTATTTTTCTATACTGTAATATTTATACGAGTTAGATTTGGTACATTATTATGGTCAAAACGACATTGTACTTCAACAAAAATACATTATACCTTTATCAGTCCATTCAAATGTTTCAAATACACAGACACAATATACATTACAAATACATATTACATCACATACACAAATATAGATTATATTTAACATATAAGACGATTGGGGGTCAACCAGCGTACAAAATGTGCGACGAAGGCGCCTCCTTGATCGTCTCGTTAAGGTGACGCAGAAGTACGTTCCAAAAAAATAGTTTTTTTGACCCCTACACCCTTCATCCCTTCGAAGCTCTCACTCCGGATGGTAAACCCTTTGAAGGGATTAGGGCATAGGGATGAGCCCTTTCGAATGGAACGCAGGGAGTTAATCATGTACACGAATTCGGTCACTGGTAAGTTCCCTGGATCACTGCACATTGGGACAGTAATTACTCAATTTCCGGTGACATGACTATGTGCAACGTCAACGGACAACATACCTGTCGCAGATTACGATTACATTTCCCTCCAGTGGGCCTAGTTCTCAGAGTAAGATGACACATTGTCTTTTTGTTTGTTTGTCTTTTCAAATCTTCTGTCACATATCATTACATTTATCGAGTTGGCTCGTGTGGTTTATGTTTCGTACTTCAGAAATGTTACGTAATTTCCGGTAAGGGAGCATAGTGAGCACCGATGCGCCCTGGTTTTTGCGGTGCATTGTGGGATTTTTAAGGGAGCGAACGTTCCAGTGCACTGGTAGGATTTTGCGATTGAGACAGCCCTTAAAATGGCTGACTCCCTGATCAGTGCCCTGACTACTGAACTAGGGAGCTGATTGAGATGCACCCTATGATTTTATTTTAAAAAGTAACAAATAATACTTTTATTTTTGGCTTTAGTATATGTATTGTGTGGTAACTGTATTATAAAAGCAATAAGGTACTTGACGGGTGCTGTACATAGACTGTAAAAAAACATGGACGTAGTGTCCGTGGTGTCACCCGTAGGTTTCTAAAGAGCATTTTTTAAGCCTAAAGTGGGCGGAGCCGGCTGTTGCCATCTTGGCAGCGCATCACTTCTGGATAATCGAAAATGGGCAAAGAGGCAGGACGTGAGTGGAGCTGGTTGCTGAAACCACGCTAGCCTAGCTCGATGGTGGTGACAGCAGCGGCAATCCACCTATCACTCAAGTGGCCACGCCCTTAATTAAGGCTTAATATAATTTAAACGGATGAGTTATAAAAAAATTCACCCCCCTCACAGTTGTCATGAAGGGAATAATTAGCTATATAGACCAAAAACACTTTTTGTACCAAGCTGTAAACATTTTTTTTTCTGCTGTAAAGTTGAGCATTTTAACATGGGGGGTCTATGGGATTGACTTCCTTTTGGAGCCAGTCTCTAGCGGCTAGTCGATGAATTGCAGTTTATGTCACTTCCGTGTTGGTTTCAAGAGAGAGACCGGAAGGTTGCCGCTTGGTGCTTTATTGTGACCTTTTGTAGCTCCACCCCTTTTCAGAGCTGCACTCATTGACTTCTGTCTTCCTTTTGTATTTCCACAGCATGAGATTAAGGTCATACGAATTTATCAATGAACCTCTCGTTTTAAAATCTTCCTGGTCTACTGAAATTTATGACATCCACTTCTAATATGACAATGCGCATGATAACTTTCCTTAACTTTAAAATAAGTAAATCCACTTCACCAGCTAATACTCTTCAACAGTGATGCCATAGAACTACTGCAAAAAATTGGAAGTTCAAAGACAAAATTCTAAAGATGGCTGCACTTGTTTCTCTGACACATAAGATCTGTAGGGCGTTGTTAAGGCTTTGTGATGCACAACACAAAGCATTATAACACAGCCTCTAGTACCTTATTGCTTAATTAAAATATTATTTTTAATAAGAAGTTTTAAGATTAATTTAAATTGATAGCTGACCCAAAAATTCTAAATTTATTTACTTATGTTGTTTGCCAGAATCTTCAAAATCCTCCTTTTGTGCTCCACAGAGAAAGTAAAAGTATATAGGTTTGGAACAACATGTAGGTGAGTAAATCATTGCTTTAACTGTGGGACTCAGAAAGACCTCTGACCTTTGAGTTTGATTGGCCCCAGCGTCACAGTATTGGTGTGGTAGGTGCTGCCAAGGGATCTCTTGCGACGCAAGCGGCAACCTTGGCGGCAGCGAGAGTTGTAGTCGTTATCGGGGCAGATGATCACCTTACACTGCAGGTACACAAAGGCGTGAGTCCGGAGGAACTTGAAAGCCCGGAAATGGAACTGAGCGTAGTTGTGCTGACCGTTGGTGTAGGAATAATATGTGTTGTCAATGGGACATCTACAAAAGACAAAAGAAGAGAAATACAATTTGGATAAAGTTTGAACTTCAGTCAAACTCAGACACTAAGTTGGTTTTACTATTAGTTCAAATGAGTGCAAGAACATATTTAGACTGGGAGCAACAGAATTCTTACTAATGCTGTCTACGATCGCAATTTATTCCACTGTCACATGTGATATCATGTAGCAGGGAGTTACATTTAAGAATGAAAAGGTCTTACCCGTTACGCAGAAGGTCATAGGAGCGATCTTTGAAGTCATTGGGATTTGGAGACGCTACACAGGTGTCCAGGAACAGATCCAGACTGTTGTCAAGCCTGTTTAGCTTGACCTGAACATACAGGAGCTGGTTCAGGTTCACCTCATATGGAGAGTCAGAAATTTGTTGGTTGAAACTGCTGGAGCTGAAGAAAGCTATGCTGGCATTGAAGCGTCCCGTTCCTGTGATGTTGGCATTGATGTTCTCCCTGGCCTTGTAGAGTATCTGCACCATGGTGTCCGGCTCCATTCTGCAGCCCACGCGTAGTAGGAACTGTGACTGACGAGTGATTTCACCCGACTGAGACTGAGAGGCCCGCACATTGTTGGTGTAGGACACATAACCATTCATCATCTAAAGGAAAAGGGAGACAGAGAGTGGGTGATGTTGTGTGGTGAACATTCTAATTTTCAGTTTTGGCAAAAGAAACAAGAGACATCACCCCTTTTATCAGTACTGAGCATGTAGATCGTGTAGATTGTACCTCTTTGGCGGTCCCACATGCGTCAAGTGGGAAGCTAAACAGAACCTCAGTACTGCTAATGTTGGGTCTGCAAAGATGGTCATCCACATAAAGGTCATTTCCACTCAACCCGAGTGAGTTCAGGTAAGACGTCTGAATGACAATGACCATGTTGTCTGAGGAACAATCCACACGACCTGCAGAGCAAAGAATTTCATCCCCTCAATGTATTTTTGTGCATTAAAAGTATTTATTTAAATTTATAAATATTTTATAATAATTCCAGCTGTTTAGCATCTAAAAGTTGTTATATTTTAGTATTATTTCACAAGGCATTACCTTCATCTGCAGTCAGAGAGCTTGTGAAAAGGGCATTGAAACCATGGCTGACACCAGAGTAGTCGCTCCTGAAGACAACAGTCAAGTATCGTGAAGAAGAGTGAAACACCTGGTGTGTGGTGTCATTGAAGCAGACCCTTCCTAGCTGTGGAAAACCAGTGGAAGAGCCGTCATATACTGTGATGTAGTCACAGTTACAGCAGCGCTCCAATCTGAAAGAACCAAAAATAGACCTTTTAAGACATTTAACCTAAATTAAACCAACCATATAATTGGTTCCACCTACAGGTCATTAGTGGTACTGCACAAAAATCTCAATAACATTTCTCTTAACAGTTCACCTTTTTTTTTAAATTTTCATAATAATATATTAAAAGCTGAAAAATGTTTTCATCAATCAAATATTGCTTGTAATTTTATGGATAGCAAACATTGTTCCACTGGTTTTGCCATAGTTGAATCACAGCTGATGTCTCACTTACTGCACATCAGCAAATGTCAGGAAGATCCTCTGTCCTTGCTGAGCAGAGAGATACCACTCACAGTAGGCATTGTCAGGGTAATAGTTTGGGTAGTTTGGACTGGAAAACAGTCCAGAACCATACAGGTGTCCTCCACACTGAGGGTGAGGAACTGGAGATCACAAAGAAAGAAATTTTACACACACACACACACACACACACACACACACAAGGTATAGCAGTACCTGTTGTTGGGTACGATGGGCAATACCCTGAATAAAAAGGAGATAAAACTGAATGAGTATGAACCAGAAGGATCATGTTTCAGTTTTCTAATAATAATTCATACAAAAATGAAGCGCCTGGTCACAGTATGCTTTATGGAAAATAGCAGTGTGAACATTCCGCAAAACTTCATTTGTATATCTATGCATATTATACATAGTCTAATACAATTTATGATATACTGAGCTGTGAATAAGGGCTGTTTCACCTGTTTTTGAGGAACTTACAGTGAAAGTCATAGCAACAGTTGCCATAGTACTGACAGTCGTAGTTGCATGAGCAGCTGCTGAAATTGTATCCACAGTTATACTTGCAGGAGGGACCTGCTATAGTAGAGAGAGGAACAGATTTTACTCAATGTCATCAACAGTATATATATAAAATATTGGTGTGTATGCTTAACTAAAAAAGACAAACAGGTCTCACTACTGCCTTTACAGAAATTGTTCTGATCTGTTTCATGCTATTAATCCCATCAGTGTCACTTAAAATCAAATGACTGGCAGCAATACCTGTTGTTTCTTGCCAGTAAGTAGTAGTAGTTGTTGTAGAGCAGTAACCTGTGTAAAGAGAAGAGATAAAATGGAAGTAGGATTCAACAAAATCTAAGTTTATTACCATACAGTATTTGATTTTAAAGTGTCAGTCTGATCAAGAGGAACTCACTGTCGTAGTCAGGGCAACAGCTGCCATAGTACTGACAGTCATCATCACAACTACAGAGAGGAAGCCTTTGGCCACAGTTATTCTCGCAAGAGTATGCATCTATTGTAGAATGTATAAATATAGGTTTGAGAAGGTACTGCACTTGTAAATTGTTGCACAATCAGATGATAATTTATTGTCATTATAATGAGAGGAACCATCAGTAAACCATACTTATTGTGTGTGATGTACACATTATTGAATCTCTTAGTATATACATTTTGATAGAAGAGCAAAGCTGAAATAGTTGCTTTTTAAAGTCATCTGGGTCACTTAAATTCATAACTTAAATTATGACAGCAGCACCTGCTGTATCTGCCATGTGAGTTGACGTTGTTGTTGTTGGTGTTGTTGTTCTCAAGCAGATGCCTGTTTAAACAAAAGGGATAAAAATGAAGGGGAAGACACATAACAAGTCTTCTCCAATTCAGCAAAATCAATTTCAATTTCAACACAATGACTCAGGAAATATTTGTGTATCTGATCAGAAGGAACTCACGCTCATAGTCATGGCAACAGTCACCAAAGTACTGACAGGCTCTGGAGCATGAACAATAGGCAAGGTGGTACCCACAGTTATACATGCAAGAGGGTGCTAATAGAGAGAGGGACAGATTTTACCTGTCATCAAAATATGTGTGATGTACACATTATTGGGTCACTTCATTAGTTAAAGTACATTTAGTTACAAAAAAATGTGCATTCAACTAAATCCATCTGATGTCATTAGTGGCACTTAAGTTGAACTGAATGGCAGCAGCACCTGTTGGATCATCTGGTGGGTGAATTGTTGCTATACAGAAGCCTGCATGAAGAGAAAAGACACAATTGAAATGGGAAGAAAAGTAATCCCACAATTATGCTTTTATTCAGCAAAATCAATTTCATGGCCCATGTGCTGACCACAGGAAAATCTGTGTATTTGATTTTAAAGTGTCTGTCTTATCAAGAGGAACTCACTTTCATAGTCAGGGCAACAGTTGCCATAGTACCGACACTCGTAGGAGCATGAGCACAAGACAAGGTCATATCCACAGGAATACCTGCAGGAGGGAGCTTTTAGAGAGAGACATTACCTGTGAAGCCATTAATACATGTATGTATGCATGTATGTATGTGATGCATGACTACAGGGAGATCAGCTATGGAAGGTGGACGGTGCTAAAAGTCATTAAACGGAATGTGTGAAATTTGACCTTGTCAACACGGACTGTTTGTCTGCATTGACGCAGCAATTTTGAACATTTCTTTTTTATGTGTAGATGCACATTCTGGCCATGTTAAGGCATCAGTTTTCACCATCTTTCTAAAGACGCACAGGTAAACTGTTAAGATGACAAATTCTGTCTGTGCTCAAAAGTGTAATACTTTTTAAAAGCAGATTTACCACTAAATTTACCCACATATTTATCCGTTTTTAGTTTATTGCAGCATTGCTTTACTGATATCTACTGTGCTAGAGTAAATTAAATAATGATACAATGTACATTACGATTGTTCTACCTGAGAAAGAACGTTGAACTAAATAACTAAAAAGGACATGACAAATCATGACATAAGACTGACATCACACACAACATATCTGATGCATTATCCCTCATGAACAAATATAACGTCTAATGTTTGCATACATGCATACCAGTGTACCATTATGACATTCTTCACGAATAGACATCACATCTGATGTTTGTATATGTGTGTACCAATGTACCATCGCATCACATATGCAAATACATTCTCAAATACAGCAATTTCATTGGCTGTTGTGTGTGTTGTCACATTAACACGGACAAACAGTGCGTGTTGACATGGTCAAATTTCACTCTGTTTAAAGACCTTTGGCCCCGTCAGCCTTCCATAATCAGCCTCCCTTTACACGCAGGACACTACAGTACTCTACACTAGACAAATAAACAAGTTTGCACCTGTTGTAGTTGGCCAAGCGGTTGTCTTTGGGCAGTAGCCTGTATAAAGTGAAAAGAAAATCTGAAAACTTAATTTATGGAAATACAATGCATAACCATATGCTCAAACCATATGCTCAATACTAGTGAGATTAGAGAGTATTTGATCTTAAAATGTCTGATCAAAAGGAACTCACTGTCGTAGTCAGGGCAACAGTTGCCATAGTACTGACAGTCATAGGTGCATGAGCAGGTGCCAAGGTGGTATCCACAGTTATACATGCAGGAGGGAGCTAGCAGAGAGGAGCAGATTTTACTCATGATGTCATCTGTGTATGTTTAATGTACACATTATTGGGTCACTTCATTGATTAGTGTACACATTTAGTTAGAAGAGCAAAGCTTGACTAATTATTGCCTTTACAATATTGTTTAATCTCTTTACTGTCACTTAAGTTCAACTCATTGGTCGCAGCACCTGTTGTATCTGGCCAGTAAGTAGTTGCTGTTGTTGTTGTTGAGCAGTAGCCTGAAACAAGAAAAAATAATACTGAGGAAAAGTAACGCTACAATTCAGACTGGTCGTGGCGGCGGTTGCAACAATATATAGTGATATTCTCAATGTTACTCAGAAGACAGGATACAGGTTTAACTCATTCGAAATACTAATGCTTAATGTTACACTGTCAGATATGCAAAAGAAATCTATCGTATCTCCTGCTCTGGCAACTGTGTATAGACCACCAGGGCCATATACAGATTTCCTAAAAGAATTTGCACATTTCCTCTCAGACCTATTGGTTACTATTGATAAAGCGCTAATTGTCGGAGATTATAATATACACGTTGATAATACAAATGATGGATTAGGACTTGCGTTTACTGACCTAATAAACTCTTTTGGAGTCAAGCAAAACTAATTGACAGTCACCACTGATAAGCTACCACTAAATATTGTAGAAACTTAATTTGCTGTAAAGTTGCTTTGCAATGATTTGTATCGTGAAAAGCGCTGTACAAATAAACTTGACTTGACTTGACTTGACAATTCTCCATTGATTCAGCAAAATCTATTTCATTACTAGAAATATAATGACCCATGTGTTCACTACATTACAGATATGTATTTTTAGATTTGTATTTTTGTTTATAGTATTTTATTTAAAATTGTCTCTCTGAAGAAAACAAACTCACTGTCATAGTCAGGGCAACAGTTGCCATAATAATGACAGTTGGAGGTGCATGAGCAGCTGCCGGGGTTGTATCCACAGTTATACATGCAGGAGGGGAAATCTAGAAGAGAGAAAAACACATATTATCCATGAAGCCATTTATGCATACATGACTACAAAAACACCCAGGAAACCAGGGAGAGTTTTGAATCTAACAGACAGATAAGATGCAAGTGAACCTGTTGTAGTTGGCCCAGTCGTCGTCTGTGAGCAGCAGCCTGTATAAAGGGAAGAGCATTTTTATATACATCTTATATTGTAAATTTAAAGTAACATATATGAACATCAGAAAATTATTTTAATTACATTCTGGAAATTACAGACATGCTCAGAACGAGGGAGATTTGTGTATAATGATTGATCTTGAAATGTCTGATCAAGAGGAACTCACGGTTGTAGTCATAGCAACAGTTTCGGTTGTCCTGACAGGAGTCGTCACACGAACAAGTGCCAAGTGAGTATCCACAGTTATTTCTGCATGAATTGGAATCTAACAAACAGAGAGATAGATTTTAGCCAGTATTAATGGGAATCACAATAAACTCCACCCCTAGTTCCAGTTGCTCTTCAGAATTCCGCTTTCTCAATGGTTATATTAAAGATTGTTTAGTATTTCAAAAGAGGAAATATTAGGAAAAGAGAAATGCAATTCCATTTCCAAGTGACGAGTTAACTTTGAAAAATGCTTTTAAAAAATTCTTGCAAAAGGTGGGTTTACAAAAACTTTTTAAAAAATACTCCTGACAATATTCCTGTGTATCTTTAAACATTGCAGTGTTGGGTGTAATGCATTAAGTAATTCAATACTGTAATTTAATTACTTTTTACCTTAAAAAAAGTAAAGTAAGGGATTACTCTTTTTCTGTAATTACAGTTACTTCTGTAATTCTATATAAAACAATAGTGCATTAAACATCAACATTTATAATCTAATGTTAAAATGTATGTTTTTAATGTAACCTCTCTTTAAATGCTTTGGTCAGTTTAAGAATAATTTATGCAATTTTACATTATTTATTTGAAAGAATTAAAAGAGTAGCTTCATGTCTATCCTTGTATTGTTCAACTGGTCAAGGTTGATATGGGATTTAGAAATTAATTAGTAATAAGCAATGCAATATTTTAGAGAGAGAAATTAGTACAGTAATCTAATTACACCATTGAAGATGGATTTAATAGCTAGTAATTAATTACTTTTAGATTTTAATTTTAAATTAAATTACCTAACATGGAAACATTGTTATATAAAGTTGGTAACTACATTGATTTAAGCCTTAAATAAATTGTAAGGTGTGTTTCTGATACAATAAAAAGAAGCGACTCATAGGAGTCTTGCATTCAGCAATCTGCGCTGCGCTGTGTATTTTTGATTCACAAAAAAGAAGTGGCTCACAAAAGTAATTTGTTAAAGAATCAGACTACACGGTTAGTATTTTTGATTCAATTAAAAGAGGCGGGCCATAAAAGTGATTGATTTGGGAATCTGATTACACTGGTTGAGCCTTGTGTCTTTGATTCCCTAAAAAAAGAACTGCCTCATAAGTGTCATACACTAAGGGAATGAACTGAACTGGTCACTGAATGCATGTGCAAAAAACATTGCCGGAATCGTACATTCAATCTGGAATTGTTTTAAAAAATGTAACTCTATTCATTTCATTTAATTGCTTACCTACAAAGACCCAGTTTGCATGAAATCCTCTTCTTGATACACTCCCATCACTGTAGAAAAGCACAGTCAGATCATTGTTGCTGGAGTTGTAGTGTTTGTTCTCGTACTCCCGTATTTCTCCCAGTAAGGGGAAGAGGGTAGAAGGACCATCATATACTCTGATGTAATCACAGCATGTTTCCAAACTAACAAAAAGAGAAGAGAGAGAGAGAGAGAGAGAGAGAGAAACAAATTTATGTTTTGACGCAGAATATTTGAAAACATACATTATGTGTTCACAAAAAAACTTTTTAAACTTTATTTTTGAAATTTCATCTCTTTTTTCAAATTAATAAAATTACATTACATAATTAAATTGTTTTGCAAAAGATTCGGAGACAAAAATAATAGAGGTAATAAATGTTTCCTACAAAACATCAGTGAAGGTCAATAACACAGTCGTCGCCCCTGTGCTACGAATGGTCCATGTGCACAGTGAGTTATCAGGGTAGTTTTTAGGATACTGAGGACTGAAAAATTCACCCATCCAATCTGTCATAGTGCCACCACATGATGCTTCACATAGAGATGGAAAACAGAGAATGATCATCACAACAACGTAAATGCAGAGAATCACAACTGACATTAAGATTAGATAGACAGATAGACAGGCAGGCAGACAGATAGATATTTTCTCCTTTGCCGGTTAATTATATTCTTACCTAGAGAGGTTTTAGCAGTTAGAAGCAGACAGAGAAGGAGAGTCAGAGCTTCCATCTTTCTCTCGTCTGATCAAGTTAGCCTTCAATTATTCAACTACCACTTATATAGTCAAAACCAGCCTAAGGAGGATTTATTTATGAGACATCAATATCCTGGAGCCTCTGATGGAAAAATATCAATAGAGCAGCATAATCGTGGAAAAGACACAGCTGGATATTATGCAACTTTTATTATTACTCTTGGCTCTGTATTAATTTATGAATATGTCTGTTTACATAACGTTTGTGATTGTGGAGTGATCATGTTTATTAAACTAAATCAAACACATACTCTTAGGCAAAGTTATCACCATTACATAACAAAAGTTTTACAAAAATATGTACAGTTATTTACAGTTTTACAAAAATATGGAATGATGAATATATGAAACAAAAGAGAGCAAGTCTGTGGTGTGACACAAGAGACATTGAAGTAGCACCAGTTTCAGTTACCTGAATGAAACAAATGTGTTTTGAAGCGATGTAGAACTGCCACAGTATTGTTTGAACTACATAAAATGTAAACATAGTGTCATGATCATTATCTGTACTGCAATCTCTGACCACACCACTATCACAAACTTTGTGTCAACAGATATAAAATACATACTGCATCCAGCTGTGTCGTTTCCACAATTATGTAGTTTCAGGCTCCAGGATATTGATCTATCATAAGGATGTCCTCCTCTAACTGTCATTCTCTGTACAATGGTTTCTACAGTTTTAACTGTTCTTTCAAAGTAAGATTTTTTTTCACGGGCAGCAAATTCTCAAATTCATGAAAAACAACAGCATCAGGAACATAGCCAATCCATCTTTTCACTGCGCACAGCCAATGACATCTGATGGGCCTGAAGTCATTCACAGGGGTGTAAAAGTACTCAAAAATTATATTTAAGTGAAAGTATGGATACTGAGTAAAAGTTCTGCTTAATTAAAACTCCAGATATCTAACACAAAACATTCTTCAACGAAAGTAAAAATGTATAACTTGAAATTGTATGCGAGTGTAAAAAGTAGAACATAGGAAAAATAAAAATGAGAGAAGTTTTTTGTTTGAGCATTCAATATATTTTTCTTCATGTAAAGTGAATGAACTGTATAAAACGTTTCCTAAGACAGACATAGAAATGTTTTGTTGAGGGGAAAACACAAAACAAAATGCAATTAAAGCTGCAAGCAGCGATGAAAGGGCCCTCGCACCCGGGCTCACTGCCACCCGGTGGCTTTAGGAAAACAGCAAACAGTGGGCAATATGCATTTAAAGTGGTAAATATAGGAGGAATATTTCAAAGTCATTTATATGTGCCAAACTTCCTGCTGCCAGCTGGTGGCGCTATGATTATAACCGAATGTTGGCATGTAGATGTCTTCAGGCCAGGACTTTATCAAACATGTGAAGTCTGGTGCAGACTGAACATGGTATGTTTGAGTTAGTGTAAAGCATGACATATCCTGTTGCCAGCAGGTTGTTTAGCACACAATGGCATATTTTACTGTGCTACTAATAGTGCATCACAGTATTACACATGTCACTTCCTGTTGCCAGTAGGTGGCGCTATAACTGTAACCGAATATGAGCATGTAGATGTCTTCAGGCCAGGTATTATGTTTAGCACACAATGGCATATTTTACTGTGTAGCTAATTGTGCAGCACAGTGTTAAACATGTCACTTCCTTTTGACAGTAGGTGGCGCTATGACTAAAATGGAATCTTTGCATGTAGATGAGTTCAGGCCAGGACTCTCATCAAACATGTTAAGTTTCGGGTAGATTGGACACTGCATGCCTGAGTTACATCAACTTCCTGTTTCACTGCATTAATAGCATGCTTTAGCACTTAGCTAAGTGTTGCTAGCATGTTTTAGTAGGTTTCTAGCATGTTGCCAGCCTTTTTAACACTTGCTGACGCTTTTTAATATGTTCCTAGGAGTCCATAACAGTGTTAAACATGTCACTTCCTGTTGCCAGCAGGTGGCGCTATGACTATAACCGAATACGGGCGTGTAGATGTGTTCAGGCCAGGACTCTCATCAAACTTGTTAAATTTGGGGCAGATTGGACACTGCATGCCTGAGTTACAGTAACTTCCTGTTTCACTGCATTAATAGCATGCTTTAGCACTTAGCTAAGTGTTGCTAGCATGTTTTAGTATGTTTCTAGCATGTTGCCAGCCTATTTAACACTTGCTGACACTTTTTAATATGTTCCTAGGAGTCCATAACAGTGTTAAGCATGTCACTTCCTGTTTCCAGCATGTGGCACTATGACTATAACTGAATTTGGGCGTGGGTATTTTTTCAGGACAGAACACCTATCAAACGTGTGAAGTTTGGGGCAGATTGCCTGAGTGCAATCTCACACCATCGGTGCTCGGGCCCTAATAACGCATGCAGCAGTGTCGCACTGTCGCTGATCCAGGCTGATAATTTGTTCACATCTTGCATTTTTTCTCTTTTAAAGTGACTATTTCTTCCACGGTAATAACAACAGTCTTTAGATTTGTGGGTAGAGAGTTTCTGCAAGATTCAGCATGTGGCATACGACACAAACAATACTGTGACGGTGACACTCTAACCACATATAGCTTTGCGAGTAGCTCAGTTGCTTTCAAAACAGCTTTTCTGTTAACAAGCTACTGTTTCCAGTGATTAGTGGTGTAGAGCAACGATCACTGCTTTTATCACATTTATTCACTGCTGAGCGAGCAGAGACAACCACACTTTCGGCTCTCTTGTATGTAGCTCTAGCAAGTCAATTCATTTTAGTGAATCAGTTCAGTTATCCGTGTCTCATATGTTTAGAAAGTTTGACTCATTGTAGTGCATCGTTTGTCCCCTCTGTCATATGTAGCTTTGGAAAGTTTGATTCATCCTGGTGATGTGATTAGTTTAGACAGTTCTTGTAAATGTAATTATGTAAATGTATAATAAATATTATATGAGACAAATAATAATAGGCCTAGTGGTAATAATATTAACCTAATAGGTTAGGTTGGTAGTGCCATATTTAATGTTTGGCAGGAATGAAAATGAGGCTGTGAGGGATAGAAGTACAGTGTGTTCAGTGGATTACACTGTAGTTTAACAACATGACAATTGTTTAGCTGACAAAACAGTTTAAAAAGTTCAGTAGACAAAAACTCCATAAAACAGTTTTGAAAATTATTTGATCTATATGTATTGTTTATGTCTTTTGTACCTTGCATTATGTTGATTCATTTCAGAGAGGCCATGTGCATTGAATGGAATACAAGTGAATATAAACCATTGGAGACACCAGTGACCAGGACAGCTTTTTAGAAATACTTTATTGAATTTCAAAAATACAATTTGTATTTAGAGTAATTTGCTGGGTGGTTAATAAGGATTTATTAATAGTAATGATTAAGGTTATGATTAAGAAGATGATCACTTCATTCATTTCAGACGTTTCAGACTCCTTCATACGATGCCTGGAATGACAGTGAATGGACAGTCATTAGAAAAGTCTCAATATTAATAACAATTCATTAGAAATGATACCTGCTATTAGCCTCTGACCTTTGAGTTTGATTGGCCCCAGCGTCACAGTATTGGTGTGGTAGGTGCTGCCAAGGGATCTCTTGCGACGCAAGCGGCAACCTTGGCGGCAGCGAGAGTTGTAGTCGTTATCGGGGCAGATGATCACCTTACACTGCAGGTACACAAAGGCGTGAGTCCGGAGGAACTTGAAAGCCCGGAAACTGAACTGAGCGTAGTTGTGCTGACCGTTGGTGTAGGAATAATATGTGTTGTCAATGGGACATCTACAGAAGATAAAAAAGAAATACAATACGGATAAAGTTTGAACTACAGTCGAACTCAGACAGAGTTGGTTTCACTATTAGTTCAAATGAGTACAAGAACATATTTAGACTGGGGGCAACAGAATTCTGACTGAAATACTGTCTTAGATCTCAACTGATTCCACTGTCACATATGATATGATGGTGGAGGGAGTCACATTTAAGAATGAAAAGGTCTTACCCGTTACGCAGAAGGTCATAGGAGCGATCTTTGAAGTCACTGTGATTTGGAGACGCTACACAGGTGTCCAGGAACAGATCCAGACTGTTGTCAAGCCTGTTTAGCTTGACCTGAACATAAAGAAACTGGTTCAGGTTCACCTCATATGGAGAGTCATAAATTTGTTGGTAGAAACTGCTGGAGGTGAAGAAAGCTATGCTGGCATTGAAGCGTCCCGTTCCTGTGATGTTGGCATTGATGTTCTCCCTGGCCTTGTAGAGTATCTGCACCATGGTGTCCGGCTCCATTCTGCAGCCCACGCGTAGTAGGAACTGTGACTGACGAGTGATTTCACCCGACTGAGACTGAGAGGCCCGCACATTGTTGGTGTAGGACACATAACCATTCATCATCTAAAGGAAAAGGGAGACAGAGAGTGGGTGATGTTGTGTGGTGAACATTCTAATTTTCAGTTTTGGCAAAAGAAACAAGAGACATCACCCCTTTTATCAGTACTGAGCATGTAGATCGTGTAGATTGTACCTCTTTGGCGGTCCCACATGCGTCAAGTGGGAAGCTAAACAGAACCTCAGTACTGCTAATGTTGGGTCTGCAAAGATGGTCATCCACATAAAGGTCATTTCCACTCAACCCGAGTGAGTTCAGGTAAGACGTCTGAATGACAATGACCATGTTGTCTGAGGAACAATCCACACGACCTGCAGAGCAAAGAATTTCATCCCCTCAATGTATTTTTGTGCATTAAAAGTATTTATTTAAATTTATAAATATTTTATAATAATTCCAGCTGTTTAGCATCTAAAAGTTGTTATATTTTAGTATTATTTCACAAGGCATTACCTTCATCTGCAGTCAGAGAGCTTGTGAAAAGGGCATTGAAACCATGGCTGACACCAGAGTAGTCGCTCCTGAAGACAACAGTCAAGTATCGTGAAGAAGAGTGAAACACCTGGTGTGTGGTGTCATTGAAGCAGACCCTTCCTAGCTGTGGAAAACCAGTGGAAGAGCCGTCATATACTGTGATGTAGTCACAGTTACAGCAGCGCTCCAATCTGAAAGAACCAAAAATAGACCTTTTAAGACATTTTAACCTAAATTAAACAAGTCATAAAACTGGTTCCACCTGCAGGTCGTTAGTGGTACTGCACAAAAAAAACCTCAGTAATAACACTGTTTCTATAGCAGTACACAATGTATACTGTATATTAAAGACTAAAATAAAATGAGATAACATTTTATATGGTAAATATGGTATAATTACAATGATTTCATTAATCAAAGATTGCTTGTAACTTTATAGATGGCAAACATAATTCCACTAGTTCTACAGCAATTAAATCAAACACATGTTCTCTCACTTACTGCACATCAGTAAATGTCAGGAAGATCCTCTGTCCTTGCTGAGCAGAGAGATACCACTCACAGTAGGCATTGTCAGGGTAATAGTTTGGGTAGTTTGGACTGGAAAACAGTCCAGAACCATACAGGTGTCCTCCACACTGAGGGTGAGGAACTGGTGATTGTGATGCCCCAAAATACATGAGTCCAAGCATGTGGGAAAAGAGGAGGAAAAGTTAGCAAAATTGGCATAATAGATACTGTGGTTGTTGATCAATGGGTAAAGGTATCCTTGACAAGAGGCTGAGACATTTGAGGCATGTCATGTTGACTGTATGTATGTAGCCAGCAAATGTGAAAATTCATGTATTATAGCACCTATGTGTGGCCATTACCAGATGAGATGGTCTCTGGTGCAGCAGTTGTATATGTGGTGTTGATGCTCCCCACATCTGGAAGAAATGTTTTAATGACTAGTTATTAATAAAGAGACACACAAATGTAGATGAATCAAGGACACGTGTAAATATGATTACCTGCACAGTATGCCAAATAACAGCCACTTGGTCTGACAAACTCATAGACATAATAATTGCCTGGACAGGCTTTCACTCTAATGGGAGTAGATTTGAAATCGCAGCAGTTATTGGACCAGTGACCACAGACATCTCGGGTGACCACTCCATCCTCGACTTTTGGGTGTCCTCCGTTTAACCACAGTGGGGCATCAGTGCCACATTTGTTCATATCAACACATGTGTCTGGCATCTGGACACTCTGGCCATGAATGAAGAGACGATACCAGCCAAACCAATTCACATTCTGGTCACACATTAAGACTAAGTCATTCTGATAGTTAGTGGCTCTCCAAGGATCGTCCAGTACAGTGTAGCTGTAGCAGGGGTCTTCTGAGGGAGCCTCTGTTTAATCATTCAAATTATCATTGAAAAAGAAAATTAAAGTATTGTTGAACTAGTGTTGAATCCATGTGACTTCAGTGGTTCAACCGTAACGTTATGAAGCTACAAGAATACTTTTTGTGTGCAAAGAAAACAAAAATAATGACTTTATTCGATGATTTCTTCTGTTCTGGGTCAGTCTCCATGACAACGCATGCGTGTGCATTCCTCTACTTGTAAACAAGACGCAGCGCATGCGTGTTCTACGTCAGCAGGATCACAGGCATGCGTAATGGTACTCTCGTGAATGGCGGCGGAGACTGACCCGGAAGAGAAGAAATCGTTTAATAAAGTCAGTATTATTGTTTTCTTTGCGCACACAAAAGTATTCTTGTCGCTTTATAACATTACGATTGAACCACTGATGTCACATTGACTATTTTAACAATGTCCTAACTACCTTTCTGGGCCATAAAATTTTTCAGTTGCGTTGCTGTCTTTGCAGTGTCAGAAAGCTCAGATTTCATCAAAAATATCTTAATTTGTGTTCCTAAGATGAATGAAGGTCTTATGGGTTTTAAAAGACATGAGGGTGAGTAATTGATGACAGAATTTTCATTTTTGGGCGAACTATCCCTTTAACATTTCCGTTTCTGGGCTCGGCTTCATTTAACGATTCCAGATTATAAACAATTCTGTAAGCATTTTTATGAAAAAAAAAAATTTGGAAAAAAGAAATCCAATTCAATTGGCAAATGAAGTTAACTTTGATACTACATTTAAAACAATAATTACAAAATGACTAGAAACTTGATAAAGCAAACTAAGTTGAAATTCATAATATTATAGTCAAGTTTTATTCATTCCTTTCAATTGCTTACCTACAAAGACCCAGTTTGCATGAAATCCTCTATTTGTTACACTGTGATCACTGTAGAAAAGTACAGTCAGATCATTGTTGCTGGATTTGAAAGACTGGTTCCTGTAGTCCCGTATTTCTCCCAGTAAGGGATGGAGGGTAGAAGGACCATCATATACTCTGATGTAATCACAGCATGTTTCCAAACTAGCAAGCAGAGAAGACGGGGAAAACAAATGTAAATACATTTGTTTGTCCACCATATTAGTATTTTGTTGTAACGTTTCCTTGGAAAAAAGAAATGTAAAAGTTACACATTTTCAGTATACAGTTTCAGTTCCAAAATAAGGAAATTCAAATAATGTCATACACAACATCGTTGAAGATCAATGACACAGTTGTGTTCCCTGTGCTATGAATGGTCCATGTGCAATATGAGGAATCAGGGTAGTTATTAGGGTACCGGGGACTGAAAAATTCACCCATCCAATCTGTCATATAGCCACCACATGGTTCTTCATATAGAGATGGAAAACAATAGAATAAAATATATTTAAAATGTTATATTTTCATGAAAAAAAGAGAAAGAAACCGTGTATAAAGTTATTTTAATCTCTCTAACATCCATTAATCCCGTCAGTGTCACTTAAAATCAAATGAATAGCAGCAATACCTGTTGTTTCTGCCCACGTTACTGGAGTTTCACTTGTTGATGAGCAGTAGTCTGTGTAAACAGAAGAAATAAAACTGAAGTAGGACGAAAAGTAATGCCACAATTCTGCTTTGATTCAGCAAAATGCATTTCATTACGAGAAATTTGATGACCCAAGTGCTTACTACATGAAAGATTTGTGTTTACAGTATTTCATCTTAAAGCAACTGCTAGTCTGATCAATAGGAACAATAGGAAATTAATAATTAAAATTAAAGCCATTTATTTGAAAATTAATTCAGCTAAATCTATTGACTATAGAAAAGATTTTTAATTGTGTGTATAGTATTTGATTTTAAAGTGTCAGTCTGATCAAGAGAAACTCACTGTCGTAATCAGGGCAACAGTTGCCATAATAATGACAATTGTAGGTGCATGAGCAGCTGCCAATGTAGTATCCACAGTTATACCTGCAGGAGGGAGCTAGTGGAGAGAGATTTCATCAGTATGTGTGAGTCATTTACTGATTAGTGTATACATTTTGTTAGAAGAGCACAGCTGAAATTATTTCTGCCTTTGTATACGTTTTTTTATGTCATTAGTGTCACTTAAACCACTTAAAAGAAACATATTAGCAGCAAAGGTATTAATACATGTACAACTAAAAGCCATCAATATGTGTGTGATGTATGACTACAGGAACATCAGCCTCCATCAAAATCCAGGAAACCAGAGAAAGGTTTGAATTGACAGACAGATAAGACAGCCGTAGGTGCACCTGTTGTAGCTGGCCAGTCAGTTGTTGTAGAGCAGTAGCCTGTATAATGGTAAGAAATAAAACTGCATTAAAAATTCTAGAAATCTGTTTAATTTCTGGAATCACAGAGGATAATATATGCAATACAATATTTATATCTATCTATATCTTGAAGTGTCTGATCAACTCACTGTCATAATCAGGGCAACAGTTGCCATAATAGTGACAATTGTAGTTGCATGAGCAGCTGCCGAGGTTGTATCCACAGTTATACTTGCAGGAGGGTAAATCTAGCAGAGAGAGAAACAAAGATGTCAGCCTTCCTCTACACTCAGGAAACTAGAAAAAGGTCTGAATCTGACAGAAAGATAAGAAAAGATGTAGGTGCACCTGCTGTATCTGGCCAACCAGTTGTCACTGAGCAGTAGCCTGTATAAAGGGAAGAGAAATCAATTTCAATTTTGGAAATAATGACCCATATGCTGAATACAAGACAGATTTGTGTATATAGCATTTGATTTTGAAGTGTTGGTTCTAGAGAAACTTACTGTCGTAGTCATAGCAACAGTTTCCATAGTACTGACAAGAGTGTGTACATGAACAACTGCCAAAGTCGTATCCACAGTTATACCTGCATGAATAGGCATCTAGAGAACAGAGAAAGAGATGTTAGCCATTATTATGAGTATGAATTTAACCATTTCTTCTCTGGCTCCAATTACTGCTAATGATTCTATTAACAATTGTTTCAGCACTTATAAATTATTTTATTTTTTAAAGGCATGCAACTATATTGCCAAATGATAACATTATTTGCTTTAATGTATGACATTTCTTTCTGTATGTCCAACATACTATTTTTTTTTAAATTCATGTCGGCTTTATGAACTGAGAAACTATATAATTTGAGTGAAACATAATGTTCCATCAAGCAGCTGTTTTCTTTTTTAATTTTCTGTGTTGCCAGTATAATATACAGGTATGTGATGACATAATAACTATATGCTGTTAGTACTTTGGTGCAATACTCTGACCAAACGTTGCTTACAAGATGACCTGGTTTTTATGTATAAAATATGACCCTGTAACACTATTCCATCCAACAGATAGACAGAAAAGATGATAGACATATAGACATATAGATAGACATATAGATAGATAGATAGATAGATAGATAGATAGCTACATGAAGGATCTCCCGTGGAATACAGCCAGTCATCTATATAAAACAAAATAAATATATCATGTGAATTTAAGTTTCAACATCATATGAAAATATGCACAAAACCCATGTCCCACAATACAAAATGTTGAAGGATATTTACATGTTGTCCATGACCATGACCCAATGGTTTTTGCTGTAATATGACAAACAGCCATGAGATTTAATGTAATGTAAAGCTTGACTTTCTGTATGTGCAGTGTATTATATGTTTTTTTTAAACTATCAAATATTATATATTTGAGTGAAACAAACACAGGATGTTCAAGCTAGTAGTTGTTTTCCATAAATTGTACACGTTTAAAAGGATTTTCCATTGACAATAAATGATAATCTTACCCTGCAAGGCAGTTAGAAGCAGACAGAGAAGGATATTCAGAGCTTCCATATTTCTCTTCTGATCAAGTTTGTCCTCAAACTTTTAATCATCACTTATATAGTCAAAACCAGGCTAAGAAGGATTTCCTTATGACACATCATGTCCTGGAGTCTGTACTGGGAAAAAGCTCTAGAGCTGCATAATTGTGGAAAAGACACAGCTGGATGTGTTTTACAACTCCTTTTGTGTAAATTTATAGATATAGTTGTTGACACAGTTGTTTGACAGAGCCTAATGATCATAGATTGCAGTGGTGAAAATATAGGCTTATTATACATTTGCACACATAATCCATTTAATTTGAATAGTACTGAAATCTCATTCATGATTCCTATTCCTTATGGCATTTGGATTAGGGAGTGGCAATATGAAACATGTAATCTGTGTGCATGCTATGGTTAAGACATTTTCCTTAACAAACTTGAAACTTACTAGAGTTCATTTCACACTGCATATAAAAGATGACATACACAAAGAGACATATGAAGATGATAAATACAGCTTTATTACAATAGCATACTCACCACTGGGAGTTCTAGGCTCCCTACAGGTGTTCTTCATCTTTTAGCAGTATCATATTTTACTCACACTAAGCATGGCCACTCACTGGAGTATAATACAATTGGGTCTTATAAACAAATGTATTTTGCATTTATATATTTCTAAAACCTAAGGACACTTTAAAAATACAAGATTTCAGACTATACATTTTGCTTGAAATATAAAATATGTAAATTAGTGTAAAAAAAATAATAAAACATAAAAAACAACTTGGAATTTTACTCAAATTTGTCTCCATGGCCACATACCCAAAACCAGACCAGTGAGAAAACCAGTTTCAAAACTTCTGAAGGGCACCTCATTAAAGTTTATACAACCATAGACACTGGTAAAAGAAAATGCATTTGGCAAGAACATAAATGTAAAAGGATGGAAAACACACAGCTGACTATGTTGTTAAATAGATGCTGTTGTCAACTAACTGATAAAGTCTGATGCAAATTTTCATGATGATGTGGCCAAAATGCCCTACTACAGCTGCACTTCCCCGTGTGCCCAGACCTATTTCAACCTATTTTTGGGTTTATAATTAAATAGTGTTTTTCCTGATAGGCTATTAGATCTTAGACACAGAGTGTCAGCACATACATGTTTTGATTAAATATTGTGTACATCATATTATACAGTTTGTAAACACATATGAACATCCAAGACTATGAATTCTCTAAATTCAAAGAATTGCTACGACAGACATTCTGAATACCGGAATTTTGTTATGCTTATCCAGTTCATATCTGTCTGCAGGGAATCAAGGTTCACCTGTAGATCTGTGTAATCTCTGTTTTTGCCCTAATTTTATGTAGGTCCTAGCTATCCAAAATGGCTTTTGCATTTAATGCATGTTTAATCTGCAATATCATTTGAGACAGGAAAAAAATATTTTTTATTTATTTATTTGCAGACTGCTTTGTCCCATGTTTCAATGCAGTGCATTAATAGCGGAAATAAACAATGGTTTTGTCTTTACATTTATCTTGCTTAGGGGGTTAATAAACATTGAGAAGCCATTTGAGGCACAAAAATAAAATTACAGTACTAAATAAATATTATCAGACATTTTGTTTAAATTTATTTTTGATTATCATAGGGGATAATATCCTATTATTGCTATTTTTATATTAAAATTACCAGTTTTATTTTAGTAACTAAGCGAAAATGTTTTTTTTAAAGGTCATTTTATACTAATGAAACTTTGCCTTATTAAGTGGGCCACGTACCTGATTCTCTGCTTATTATTCAACTAAAGGAAGAGAACAAAAATATAAATATTACTATTTTAAAAGTGCCTATATGAAAGAATGAAAACGAGAGAACAGAAAGACAAAAAAAAATAATAACCTGACGCAGTGACGTATACAGCCACTTCCGCTCCTACAGGAAAAAGACTCGTGAAGTTTGTGAACGGGGCCACGAGCAGGAGATGCGCTGAACCGCACCACTTCAGCGATAATAAAACGAGTGAGTAGTTTGAGAAATTACCCTTATTCGTTCAGCTGTCTCTGTGTGAGTACGTTTATGGATATGGAGTTTTGTTAAAAGTGTAAACACGGATCCTGCTGTAGATTCATGGCAGGATTAAATGGAGACAGGGCGAGGTTGGACTTTTCCGCGCTGTTGCTAACTGACAGACGTAGATTTTAGACGCATCATCCTTGTAATACAATAACAGTGTTTATCCAAATAGAGATAATATATCAAGGATAATATTTATCTTATAGAGCTAGATTGTAACTGTGAGCATGCTTCCAGATTTATGTGTTGATGGATTGATTGTCAGTTTTCGTTCTTATCTCGTTCTTATTTTGATTTGATCTCATCTGGCTTTTCTGAATGATCCTATTTAGAATCAGAATCAGAAAGAGCTTTATTGCCAGGTATGTTTACACATGCGAGGAATTTGTTTAGGTGACAGAAGCACAAACAGTTTACAGTGACGAGACACAGATAGTAAAAATAGAATATGTAAATAGGAAATAATAATATACAACAAATATTTTTTTTAAATACACAATATACAAAAATAGACAACAGATGGTATTTGTGTGTACAGGTATGATATGTACAAATGCAAGGAAATGTGAATAAGTATAGTGTGTATAAGTATAAATAAATAAATGTATAGGCTAAATAGTGTTGTGTATTACACGATTATTGGCAAGTTAACTGCTGATGAGATGGCTTGCTTGAGGGAAGAAACTGTTCTTATGCCTGGCCATTCTGGTGCTCCGTGCTCTGTAGCGCCATCCAGACGGCAACAGTTCAAAGAGGAAGTGGCCTGATTGTGAGGGGTCCAGAATAGTTTTGCTAGCCCTTTTTCTCACTCTGGATGAGTGCAGTTTTTGGAGAGCGGGGGGGGGTTGTACCAGTGATTTGCTCAGCAGTCCAGACTATCCGCTGCAATCTTTTAAGGCAGGGGAGTCAAACTCAATTCCTGGAGGGCCGGAGCCCTGCAGAGTTTTGTTCCAACCCTTCTCCAACACACATACCATGTAGTTATCAAATAAGCCTGAAGGACTTGATTAGTTAGATCTGGTGTGTTTAATTAGGGTTGAATCTAAACTCTGCAGGGCTCTGGCCCTCCAGGAATTGAGATTGACACCCCCGTTCTAAGGTCTGATTTGGTAGCTGAGCTGAACCAGACAGTTATTGAAGTGCAGTGGTTGGATTCAGTGACTGCAGACTAGATCTGTTTCAGCAGCTCCTGTGGCAGGTTGAACTTCCTCAGCTGGCAAAGGATATAGAGCCTCTGCTGGGCATTTTGACAGTGGAGTCTGTAGAACTCCCACTTCAGGTCCTGAGAGATGGTGGTGCCCAGGAACTTGAATGACTCCACTTTTGTTACAGTGCTGTTCATGATGCTGAGTGGGGGGTCCACTATAACTGCACCAGTCAGCCAGCTCTTTAACCTCCTGTCTGTAAGCAGAATCGTCACTGTCCTGGATGAGGCCGATAAGTGTGGAGCACATCAGGAGCTTGACAGAGGGGTCATTATTAGAGGTGCAGTCATTGGTGTTTAAACAGTAGGTTTATTATCTAGTAACCACAAACAACTGGAAACGTTATGGGAATTGGGTATGAGAACTCAACCATTTAAATCAGTGATGGGCAAACTTGGCCCTTCCAGGCCACTTTCCTGCAGAGATTTGATCCACCCTGATAAAACTCACCTGCCTGTAGCCTTCTAGTAGTCTTGAAGACAATGATTAGCTGGTTCAGGTGTGTTTGATTAGTGTTGGAGCTAAACTCTGAAGGAAAGTGACCTGGAAGGGCCAAGTTTGCCCACCCCTGTTTAAATCAACCGCTGTGGCAACATCTCTGATGTTGTACTGAGTTATGGTTTTGTATTATTGTCAGTGATTTCGGCTTGTCTTTACCACAGACCAACCAATGGACATCAGACTTAAAATGTGTTGAAATGTTGCGTAACAGGTCATTGTGTTTGAGGACATCACTTTTTGTTAGTGTGTTTGAAAACGGGCATGGTGAATGGATCGGTCAGCAAACATTTGGCTTTGGTTTAACAATATGTTGACCGCATCCAACATCAGCTTTCACTTACACTTTCAATTATCATGTTTTTGTAGATCGAGATGCTGTTACATGTTTTAGTAGACATACGGAGTTGTTTTGTTTAATGCATCTATTTTACATTCATTTGAGAGAAGCATTCTTTGATTTCAACATTTTTACCACCTGACCAGTCTTCATTTGATTTCATGATGTTGGTGGAGTTTATCTTATGGTTAGTTGATGAACAGAGAAATCAAGGAAAGAGGGAGAGACCATTTATTCTGCATGTCCTTGAGATATCCGTTTAATACAGATGGAACCGATCTGTTTACTGTACAGATGTGCACAGTCTACATACACATTTCTATGTTTATGTCAGGCTCATTATTGAATACTAAGATTTAAAAATATATATTCGTAAACTGAAAAAAAATCTTTATGAAAGCAACTAGAAAACTAAAAACCTCTGATTTTGCTTGTTTTAGCAACTATGTTAGTTCCTGATTCCTTCACTATAATTGGTACAACTATAACTGAAATGAAATTGAAATATATCCATATTACACACACACACATACATATTATATATGTAGGCTAATATATATCCATATCGGAAAACTAAGCTGTTATTGAAATAAAACTAAACTGAAGTGTGAAAATAAGACTAGTTATTAGTTACTCAACTTCATGTCGTTCCAAACCCATAAGATGTTTCTTCCATCTTGAAGCAAAAATTGAGATATTTTAATGAAATCTGAGAGGTTTCTGTCCATCCACTGAAAGTGTTCCATCAAACGTTTGATGCTTCAAAAAGTTAAAAATGGCATTCGAGCAGTTTATTAAAATTTTTTTCTGAATATAATTTTTTTTTTTAAATCTCTTTAAGATTTGGTTGGATGGACTTTTAATGGACAGACAGAACTCTCAGGTTTTATTAG